TCCGAAATTCGATTTTGGTCGTCGGAGTCTCTCCGCTCGTAGTCAGCGTCTTTCTGTCTGGCTTCAGTCTTCAGCTTTTCAACAGCATTTTCAAGTAGAGCTAATTGGTTATTTTTTTCATCCAATTCTCGATGAATGGAGTTTTGCATCTCTTGTTGCTCACTACATGGCTTAGAACAGATAATTTTGTATTGGTCTAATTTCTTAAATGCGCTTTTTTCTGAGCAACTTTTGTGAAATATGCTAAAGCAGACTACACAGAATAAGTTTTTCACTTCTTTTGTGGGTGGTTTAGTCGGGCAGCATTTGAATTCCATCTCGATAAAGACCAGTAAATCCAAATCAAATTAAATTAAACCCTCAACACTCCGTTAGATCGCAATTCATGGGTCTGCACCATATTCCCCTACTTAGTACAGAGAATCCGCAAAACCACGTCACGAGCACAAGAGACACAGGCGAGCCGAAATATAAAAACCAAATTCTTGAAATTCCTCGGAATAAGTGAAGGAACAATTCGATTAAGGAAACACTTTTTTACAAAAAAAAAAAACACAATAAATCACTGTAAGAAATTGCAAGCAACACTGCTGTCAAAAAAATCTCTAATATTTGCCCAGTACTTTAGGCGAAAAACGGCAAATATTCTTAACGTAAACCGCACTGTTGTTATCGTTGTATCGTTATATGTTGTTTCTGTAGGTTGGATTTCCAATGCTTCTTCAATCGTATCTGCACCGGAAAGAAGGCCGTCTACATAGAAATCGTGTAGGGCTGCCTTAGCTGCCTTTGGAAAATTTGTGGCCTCATCACTGGCTAGTTGCTGCAGTGTTTTGATTGCCAAATATGAGGTTGCGGTTGTACCATATGTTACTATTGTGAAACAGTATTCTTGTATTGGGTATTTTTTGTCAAACCGCCACAGAATTCTTTGAAATTTCTGATCGTCTGGATGGATTTTAATTTGTCTATACATTTTCTCATTGTCAGCTGTGATAACTATTCTGTGTGATCTCCAACGTAAAAGAATATCCGAAAGCTGTTGCTGTAATTTGGGACCAGTGTACATTGTTCCGTTCAGGCTGAACCCAGAAGAAGTCTTGCTGGATGCATCAAAGACTACTCGTAGCTTGGTCGTTCTACTTGATTCTCTTAAAACATGGTGATGAGGAATGTAGCTTTTTAAAAATTCTTTATCTTTTTCATCCTAGATTTTCATGTTTCCCAGATCTAGGTAATCTTGCATAAATTGTTTGTAGGTGGAATCTAGTCTCTCGTCTCTTAAGAGCTTTTTCTCCAATTGTATAAGGCTCTTTGCCTTCTCATAGTGTAAGTCCATCTTTGTCTCTGGTTGTGTTTAGAGCATATTGTTCCTCAGCGATCTGCTCATCTTTAGTCATTTGTCTTGGTTGGGAGATTTCTTCTATTTCCCAGAATTTGGTTGACTGTAGTCTTCTTGAATGCCGGTTGTCACTGTTAGCACCTGGAGTTTTTTATCTTTGTTAATAGTGTTCCCAGAAAATATCCATCCTAATTCGGCGTTCCGTCTCCGTATGCCATCATTCGTTTTCCTGACGCTTTCAAGTAAAATCTGAGCGTATCCTTTGGAGCTCCATATAATGTCGATCGAACCAGGCTTCTGAAATGTAGGATCTGCCACAAGGTCATTGTTTCACTAAGATATATTGACATCTAATGGCTTTCTAGACTCTAATCTTTTTTCTGAGTAGTGCAGGAGGCATGCAGCTTTCTCTGTGATAAAAGATGACTGGGACCCGGAATCTACTAGGACTCGTAAATTGTCGTAGTCTCCTTATGATTTTTTCACTTTTGTTAATGCTGTAGCTAACAACACCATTTAATCTTTTCTGCTAGCGTGGTTTGTATGTAGTTTGCTCTTTGTTTCGGCTTCCACGATGACAAGAATGATTATCTCCTGGTGATCTTTTTGGTTCATTTTTATTTTGAGGAAAGTCTACGTGAACATGGGTATGGTGAACTTTATTGCAGATTCGGCATCGACCGGTGGAGGTGCATGTGCAGACAATTAATACACAGTTTCTTCTCCTTAACTGATGTGCTCAAGCGTGCAGAGGGAAATGAGGCTTGAAACTTGGTACAATTATCTATTGTATTCGATGACTGCGAACAATATTTGCATCTAGCATCAGTAATTTTGTTGGGCTTCTTAACTGGTAAAATCTTCGGAGAATCTGAGATGGCTTCTAGTGAATGAAAGCTTGCCTCTAGAAATCTTTTCATTTCGACAAAATCTTGTAATTTATGGGGCTCTTTTAATGGTTGTTCGTATAGTTTGTTTGTTTCGGAATCCCATTTCCGAACTACTATGCGACTTATCATCCGCTGGGTCAATCTTGATGTTTTTCAGAGCTTCCAAACATTCAATAATGGTGTCGTGTAGCTGTTTTATTTTTGATGCTGATTCCTGCTGAATCGCAGGAATACGCAAGATTCTGTCTATTAATTTTGAGATGATAAGTCTTTCGTTGCTGTAACGATCGCTTAAGATTTGCCATGCTGTCTGATAGTTAATATATGAAATTTGGAAATGCTGGATGAGTCTGCTGGCTTCTCCTCGAATATGGGTTTGAGGCACTGCATCTTCTCAATCTGCGTCAGATTTTTGTTTTCATGGACCACCTTCCTAAAAATGTCTCGGAAAGTCACCCATTCTTCATACTGACCATCGAAAAATGGTAACTTTATCTGAGGAAGACTGATATTGCATAATTTTGGTGCTTGAGTCGTAATATCCTGGCCTTGGATTTTCGATCCAATGTTTCCAGAACATCTGCATATTTTAGCTCGATTTCTTCATTAGGGATTTCTGTGTTCTAGAACGGCTCTGAACTTAATTGAAGCTCAATGTATATCTCGGAGATGGTGTCCCAATGCTTCGAAATTTTGTTGTATAATAGTTGAAAACGACTGATTGATTTCTCCACCTGCAAATGATGATCTCTTCCCAGACTGCCTCGAGCACACTTATTGTCTTGATAATATTGTTAGGTTTTTCTGCTTGTAGAGTCTTTCTTGAAATTTACTAGGTGGCGTTGAATTTCCTTTTTCAATGTTTCTTGTGATTTGGCCAATGTGTTGATAGTGTCCATTGGTATAATTGTATTATGTTATCTTTGTTTGTGTAGTGTCTGTGCTTAGACCAGTGTTCAAGTGTTTTACCCCGAAGGGCGCAATAGTGTATGTGTGTGTGTGTGTGTGTGTGTGTGTGTGTGTGTGTGTGTGTGTGTGTGTGTGTCTGTGTGTCTGTGTATGCTTAGACCGGTGTCTAAGTGTTAACCCCGAAGGGCGCGAAAGTGTGTGTTTGTTATGAATTGGTGTACAAATGTTGAGGTTGAAAGTGTATTAATTAGGGAATTAAATGGATAACTGAAAAGAACCACTACCACCCATGGTATACTTGGGCACCGCACAGGCTTGAGAGAATCGTAATCAGTCGGGATGCTGTAACTAGACAGGGCACGTGCTACAGCAGGGAGGAAATGTATAACCAAACAAAGCAGCAGGAGGTTGGTTTTAGTAGGTAGGGCTATCGCCAGACAAGGCACTTGCGATAGGGTGTGTGTGTGTGTGTAGGTGTGTGTGTGTAGGTGTGTGTGTGTAGCCGCTTTCCAGCTGACGCTTTTGAGCACGCAATCGAGCTTTTGCGCGCGCAAATGCTTCAAGCGCGTGTTCGTGTTCCAGCCGTACTGCGCTTCGAGAGCTGTTAACTTTTGCGTTTCAAACACAGAACACTGTGCTGCACCGTGCTTGAAGCACACAGCTGGAAATCGGCTTGTGTGAATATGTCTTCACAGCTCGAAGGACCAAATGTACAATCGTTACCTTGATGTGAGAAGTTTTGTAACTAGAAAAGGTGGCAGAGAATGACTGATTACACTCTGAGCACCTACTTCTTCTTTGTTGTCGAATATTTGATAGGGTGCGTAGTAACACTCTGTGGTAAGCAGTTGACTGTAGGTGTGATTGAGTACAAACGACTGATGGTTTAATACTAATTTATTTAAGTAATGGTAACACTATTTATACACAAATAAATTCAATATTTACAAAGGTAATTACCTAATAAATTAACTAAAGTGCAGACTTACATGTTTTACTGACCCACTCTTCGTAATGTCGATGACTTTAAAAATGCTTGGCTAGTTGGTAAATAGAAAATAATTAATATATTTTATTAAAAGAAAATAAGTTTCAAATTTGGAAGAAAATGTGGCTAATTTGTAATGAGACATTGCAAGATAGACTGGGAAATAAATCTGTTGCAAATCAAAAACTCATAGGAACTTGTATCCAAAGTCAAGGATAATGAGCTTCCTCATTAAGCGAAACTTACTTTTTTTGATGTTGTGCTGTTTGTGATAATGGAGGACAGTGGCTTCTATTTCAATATTCCATAATTCTTACATATTTCTAAGTTATATTAATCGAAAAAATATTATTTAGGTATATTGGAATTGCCATCAAAATTTCTTAAATTGGCCAACGAAGTGTAATTAAATTGTAGATATTTAAGAACGAATTTAATTCGTTCTTTAAGCAGCCCTATCGTTTCCACTTTGAATTTCCGATAGTTAATCTGCTCTAAAAAGACTTTTTCGATCGTCTCTATACTGTTTTTCGCCCGTTGTTCTCGAGCCTTCAAAACGACGAAACGGAATTAAAGATTTATAGTCCATTAAACTACTCTGTTTTCCATCATTTCATTCTGGATTTAATTAGGTTTTCGGTGTTAGGAATTTCTAGTTTAAAATTTAAACCGATTAAATAGAATTAAATGCCTTTAAATATTTTGGAAATAGTAATTGCGAAAGGTTTTAGCTTTAAAACAGAGTTTGAATTCGTTTAGTCAAGCTAGTTATTTAAAATTGGATTTTTTGCTTTTTTTACGCCTGTCAAGCAAATATTTTGCACTGACAGTGTTTTTGTGCAATTGTTTTAATTTTGAACGTTTCTTTCAGACTCTCAAAGAATTTCCTGAAGAACTAAGAGGCGATGTTTCAATGCATTTGCACCGAGAGATTCTGCAGCTCCCGATTTTCGAAGCTGCTTCGCAAGGATGTCTGAAACTGCTCTCCCTTCACATCAGGGCCAACTTTTGCGCTCCCGGCGAATATTTGATTCACAAAGGAGATGCATTGGGGTCGATTTACTACATTTGCAACGGATCGATGGAAGTTATCCAGAATAATATGGTTGTAGCTATACTGGGTAAGTGGTTTGAGTTGTAACGACAATATGCCACACTTTTCACTTAATAGAAAAAAATTAGGGAATTGAGATTACAGGTCTGAGCGTCGGGTGCTTGCAAATTATGCCCTTGCTGAAAATAAAACTCGGGGAGTAGGGGTGGGTTATTTCTGGGCACCATTGACTTGGAGGCAGAAAAGTCAGATTCTTCTCCTCTGCGGAATGTTTAATGTGGAATCTTTTCTCTTAAGGCGCTTCCTATTGTTCACCGTCAATACCGTTTTTAACAATCCTAACCTCAAATCTTTCAAGGTAAAAGCTCAAGTAATGGTACCTTTTAATTCATTAACGAATTTCAAATTTTATTAATATATTGGATATACAAATCATTCAGCTTTCACGTCAGTCTTACTTGGAAAACTAATTTAAAATTGCATCTATTCCTATGATTTCGATTTATTGAGAAAATAAAATTCCTAATCCAACGTGTATCATATCATAAGAAATAATTACAAAAATCTAAAATCAAAAACTTTGCTGACTTGCATTCCACTAGAAAAATGTATTTAATAATAATTCGATTTTGTTTAAACTAAACGGCGGGTGAAACCGCGGGCTTACAATTGTCTCTTTAAGCAAAGATAAAATAAAGGTTGAAAAGAAAACAAGATCCCGACGGGCATTATTAGCGGACCACACATAGGAGCAAAAAGAAAAGATCCGCCCAAAGGAAAGCCCGAAATACTTGAGCAGCTTAAAAATGACTAGACCCTGTGGCTGCGCGGCACATTAAACGATAATTAGGGCCTTTCCAGTCTAATGGAACATCTGGGGTATCTCGATAAATTGACACGATTGACTGAACAAATTAAAAAAAAAAAATACGATAAGTTAATTATAATTGGATAACTGATTTAATTAAGAAGCAATTATTGATCCTAAAATTAGTATCAATTTACTACCTAGATTCATTTATACATGCATAGATTTGATGTGATTTAAATGATATTAAATTATTATCGATTGTCGGCATAATATATTTACAAAACACAGACATTAATTTATGGACAATAATTACTAAGTATTTAAAATTTATGTTGTATATATTCTTATTGGCATTGTTGATTATTCCGTCATTCAAGCAATCAATTTTCAAAAAACCTCTTAAAAATTGGATAATATTAAACGGATGTCAGTTGCAAACACGTCCGGAACTCTGCGACCTTTCCGTAAATAATAAACCAACGAAGCTGGAAACTCAGTTAATTAGCTGTGACAGCTCCTGTGAATGATTTGAAAACTGATATAAGTCGCTTAATATTAATTGCGTTTTCGTATAAACGCCATAGTTAATAGTCAATGGAATTAATGAGTAGGAAATTGTAGTTTGACGATCCAAATATTTTTTTGACAGGCTTCTCAATTTGAGGTTCCGTTTCAGGTAAAGGCGATCTAGTGGGATCCGATATCAGCGTACACCTACAACACCATCATCAGTCCAATAACAATCCAGATGGAGTAACCAGAAGTGCAGGAAACATTGACATTGTTATAAAGTCCAGCAGTGACGTGCGCGCTCTTACCTATTGCGATCTGAAATGCATCCATATCCAGGGACTCGTTGATGTGTTGAGGTATATTATATTGTGTTCAAAAATTTCAGCATATAGGGCAAACAATACAAAATCAGCGGAGAATAGGCACGTGTCGGGTTATCATTCAGTTTTGATTAACCATAGTGTGTCAACTTTCACAATATCAAATGTATTTCGAGGAATACGTTCGGTAACTAGAATTTTTATATACAAATGAGAATTCCGTTGGGATATTAAAAATTCCATCAATCTACCAACTTTGTTGAAATAGCAAAATGTATTGATGCGATTCTGTATAATATTTCGATTTTTTCACAGACTTTTTTTTCAATTAGCAATTTAAAGAAAGGCTGTATGTAGATTCATTCTCCACAATTTTTTAATGAAGCCTCTTTGAGCCACAATTATATTTCAAGCTTGAAGCATTCTACACAACCTAACGGCATATGATAGGCAGAATTACGAATTTGATTAATTTTCGGTTATTCAGAAAAGTCTTTAAAGATTTCCTCGGAATGTAATACAAAAAAAAAATGTAAATATCCTCTAAATTAGGCGGTATATACGGTTTTATTTTTCGGTAAAAAAATACATCAAAATTCCCTCTACTCAAAGAAAAATTTAAAAAAGGCAAAATTATGTTTTTCCAGGCTTTATCCCGAATACCAGCAACAATTTGCGAACGATATCCAGCACGATCTCACGGCTAACGTCAGAGAAGGCTACGAAGCAGAGGTAAGTAACAAACAAGAAATTCGACGACATTTATATTAGTCCGCAAGGGAATAGCTAGTTACTTCTATTGTATTACAATGTAACCCTGCGGGCATTTCTCGTTTTTCCAAACTTAACGTTGTTAACAAAATATGAGCTGGTTGAACACAACTTTTCTCGAGCGACCTGTTATTTTTATGGTTAATTTAGGAAATCATTCTTACGCGAATGGGATAATTTAGACCGCTAGAAGCAGTTAGGCAATGTGGACGGAACTATTCGCAAATCTTGCCTTCCGGAAACTCTCATCAACTGACTATCGGGTTAATCAGATCATATTTTTCTTTGGAAAACCTTCCTAGAGCCAATTAAGAGCCGGTAATAGTCAAAATTTGAACTTTTATCAACTCTGGATTGGCTAGAAAATTTTTCTAAGGGCAGTTAAGACTCAATCAAGAGCCGATAATAATCAAAATTTCGAATGATCATTAGCAACTCTTAAGTTGGTATTAATCAAAATTTCTTCTTCCGCAGCTTCTCATTGGTTCTTTTAATTGAACAATCTGCCATCAATAAAACTCAGAAGAAGAGACTTTTGAGTTGGTAAAGGTAATTTAAAGGATTAAAGGGCGACATTTTGGGCATTTTTATAAGCCCTCCGTTTTTTGTTTGGTTAATATACCTTACACTATGCTTGGACGATTGGACAAGGGACTTTGACAATAACGAGCAAGTGGATGTGATATATCTCGACTTTGAGAAGGCGTTCGATAAAGTGTGTCACAGTTATCTCCTGCACAAAATACATCACTTTGGCATTGCTGGGAACCTATTACAATTTGTATCAAATTTTCTATTAAACCGATGCTACCAAGTAAGAATAAATGCAATCTTTTCAGACAGAAGAAAAGTGCAGAGTGGGGTGCCTCAGGGATCAGTACTGGGTCCTCTACTTTTTTTATTGTATGTCAGCGATATGACATCTAATATCCAAACCAGGGTTCTACTTTTTGCCGACGACACGAAATTGTATGCAAAGGCCGCAGAACACAAGAAATGGCAAGAAGATCTCAGAGCAATAAAAGTGTGGTCCAATACGTGGAAAATGAGGCTAAACGAAGAAAAATGTACTATCTTGAGCATTGGAACCAACACCACTGAGTATGCCTACAAAATAAACAATGTCGAGCTGAAGCATGTGAGGGAGCAATTGGATCTAGGTGTCATAGTAACCTATAATCTGAAATGGGAGATGCACATATCAAAAATTGCCAAAAAATCCAACTCATACATATACCTTGTGAAAAAGGCCTTTGAAGACCAGTCGTGCAACACCATTATGAAACTGTATAAATCTTTCATACGTCCAAAACTAGAGTACGCCCACTCAGTTTGGAATCCGTACTTCATAAAGGATATCGAGATACTAGAGCGAGTGCAGAGACGAGTAACAAAAATTCCACCATCACTCCGTAATGAAGATTACCTTACTCGACTATCCACCCTGGGACTCACTTCTTTGAGGGAAAGGCGTCAGAGAGGAGATCTGATCGAGACATACAAGATTATTCGAAATGGCTACTCCTGTAACCTTGACATCTTCACCTTCAATAACAACCCCCATCTACGAGGTCATACTTTGAAGTTGTGCAAGGAAAAAACCGCCAAGCTTCCAAGAAGAAACTTCATAGCAAATCGAATTGTCTACCCATGGAACAGCCTGTCAAATTCTACAGTCACCGCCCAGAGTCTGAATTCTTTCAAGAATAAGGTCGACACCGATATGAGTGCATTACTCCATGTGGATATTCATTATGGACAATAAGTTCTTACCAAAAACACGACGATAAACTTACAAGTAATCCAATAGTTTCATCAGTGTAAACTGCTTACTATTGTATCATAATAATAATAATAATAATAATAATAATATTACGATTTAGGATAAAGAGTAAAGTCTTAGATTTTTGTTTTATTTAATAGAGAAAATTAGGTTTTGATTTGATGTGTTTCTACCAAATAAATAATAATTATTGCTTTTGATTCATCATTTCATTTTATTTGATTTCGGTTCAAAGGTTTATTGAACGACAAATTATCGAGTACAAAAAATATTATGTTTTTTCATTACAAAGGTAGGGGCGGGGCCAATTGTGATATTTGCTTAGGGGTCCAGTGCATCCAAGCACCTCCACTGATGTGTGGACGCATTTTACTGACTTTAATCAATAGTGGATATGCTAAGTTTTAAGAATCTGATTGATCTTTTAGCATTAGGTGAGTAACACGAAGTTTCTTCAATTTTATTTATTGTGATGCACCTCCATAATATCAAATTTAGCATGCTATGACACTCACTTATTTTTTTTGTTTTCATGAATTATTATTGCTCCATTTGCATAAATAACTGTGAGAAGTTTCAATTTGTGGAATCTACAAAATCTTATCTTGCAGTAAATTTCAATTGTAATATCCAACAAACCATTTAGAAACACATTTAAACAATAAGTTCAATAATTGCGGCTCAAGATCTTTTATGAGCGAAATAAATTTCGACAATGTATATTTTAACGTAAGCTCCAGCTCTCCCGAATTAAGCTCAAGGCGAGACAAGCCGATGGTATTAAATTTAATTTACTTTGTCTTGCAGCAAGAATCGGAAGGAAACGGCATGCCGTCACTAACCCTTCCCAGCATTAGCGAAGACGACGAGAATATGCAGGAAGGCGAGGCATCGTCGCCTGTATCGCCGACCATCCGGTCGCCCCTTCACCAAATTACCACTAGCAGTCCTGCAAGGCATACCAAGTTTATTAGGTCAGTTATAAAAACAATCCAATTTCTTCTAGGTTGATGAATCAGGATTTTTCAAATTTTAATTTCTATTTGAAGCAAACTCTGGTAATAAATTTAAGAAACTTTTTAGAGTACAAGAGGTGCACGAAAGTCCTCGTCGATCGCGTTTGGGCGGTGTGGCAAGTAACCACTTGGCTATGCTGCGAGGACGAGTTGAACGTCAACGAAGTGTGATCATGCCGCATTCCAAATTTAACTCGTGCGAGGATCTAACCAATAAGAATACAGAATGTGATAGTAGCGCCGGTAATAATAAGGAGAGCGCCGAGCGACTAGACAACCAGATATCCTCTTTACATCAGGATGTTGCGACGTTAAGTATCGAAGTAAGTATAATGGTTTTTTTTTTTTGAGTGAGCATGGGAAAGCTTCAAGCATTTTCAGGTAAGTTTTTATGGCCTGAAATCGAGTTTATTCTACCTCAAACGTGCTTTACTGAGAATTTAAGAATCGACAATCGAGTTCGCATAACTGATGGAGAAATTTGGTAAATGGGTTTGGCATTTGACGACGTTGTGTCGTGGAATTGGCTGCAAAATGGTTCTATATTTCAATATTGTCGTCGGAGGGCTAATAAACGTCGATTCCAAGTTCAGACATCCATCATTACATCTTGTGGTCCCAAAAAAGTTATTTGCAATCTGTTTTCACTCTCGTATAGTCAAGGCGTTTTCTATCAACAGGGGATCTACTGGCATATTTGGAACTCGTCTCTCGAAAAACATGGCGAATCCAGAATTGTAGCATCGAAAATCTCCAAGGCTTTTGATGAGGTGTGACACAAAGGTCTCCTTAGGAGCTTCCATCCTATGGTCTTCCGAACGAATTTTGCGATTGGCTGAGAGCTTTTTAGGAGGCAGGTCACCAGATGTTGTGGTCGAAGGTGTGTCTGCCTATAAATGCCTGCGTTTCCCAAGGCTCAATTCTGTCCCCAACAATGTTTCTTTTTTTTATAAATGATTTGTTAAGTGTGACAAGAAACCGCATACACAGCAGTGCGAACGATAGAAGTTTGATGATATCTTTCTCTTCTGACAAACCATTTACTGCCTGCCCAAGAACAGATTCACTCTATCAACAGTGATCTTGACACCATTACCAACTGGAGCCTTGACAACCTTAGTCAAATTCAATGCTTCCACAACTCAAGCAACAGTATTCTTATATAAGAAATCTTCCGCCGATGATAAGGATTTCGACACCCCTAGAGGACCTCTAAATAAAGAACTTCTTTTTGGTAGCGTACTGCCCATTTCTGGAACTCCCTGCCTCCTCCTCCATTTCCTGAACGATTTAACCTTAAGGATATAAATAGGTTTTGAATTTTCAGGTTCGGAACGCTATCCAAGCTCTGCAAGAAATGGCAATGCCGTCATCTACTCACGGATCAGCCCACTACTCGGCTCATTCAAATCCAAACATAACCGACGTGCACCATTCCTCGTCGGTTTTAACCAGAAGCAACTCGCACCCTCCAGAAATGTTCTGTTGGGACGGCGAAGGAGCCGCGTCTCCAAGAACCCTAATGTCCTTAGCTCTGGCTGATAAGGAAACCCAAACAGACAACATAGAGCTTATTCGGACTTTCGTCCAAGAGAACCCGAAAGTTATATTGGAACTTTTAGGGTTAGATTCTGAAAAAATATTGACAAGGATGAATCTGAAGAAGAGCCACAGCAATCCAGATTATACTTGTCACGATGGCCGATTCACTGATAGGTGTTTCGTGAATATGAGTAACAGGAATGATTGTAGCATAGTTGTGGATGAAGAAAGTGAGGATGAAAATGATGAAAATACTCCATTTTTGTGGTATGAGCAGTCGAATAATGAAAGGAAATCACAAATTTTTGAGAGTTTGAGCAGAAGCAGTATTATTAAGTTTACGCGGGGCATTGACAGCTAAGTTTTCAATTATCAACGTACAATATTTAAAAAAAAAAAAAGTCAATTTTTCTTCATAACTAGTTAGGTGGATAATAACAGATGTATCATACCTTCCTATATTATTTACCTTATTCTATGTGATGTACCTAAATATGATGTCATATTCAATTTAGAAATAATAAATGTTCAAATTGTATTCGATTTAGAATAATCGATAATTAATACAAATAGTCTGTACTTATATACCTACATGTTTTTTAGGATCCATTGTAAGGAATAACGCGTTCGTCAGTCATATTACAAGGGTTCCAATTCTTTTTCAAGAAAATAAATCCGCGTGATTGCTGACGTAGGGAGAACCCCAACCCGATGAGCTCATTTTTAATTAATATGCTAAGCAAGGTGCATAAAACAGAACAAATTATCTGCATTAGATACCTACCGAGATTTTGAGTCATGTCATGATGAAATATTACCTAGTTTCTCCTTGAAGTTTAGATAGCGCGTCTTGACATAAGCCCGTGTTATACGTGGTAAGTAATAAAACTTGATGGCCACAACGGTTTTCTACTCGATTTATTACAAAGTAGTTGCGGTTAATACTGATAGCATGTCGTAAAACTTCTCCCTTTTTGTCACGTATATTATTAATAATATCTCATCTGTGTGTACAATCAGGTAGGCGGCGATTTTTCTCAAAAGTCTTTTTCTATAAGGGTTTTGAAGCATTGAAGTTGGTCATTTGTGCCGTAATAAGAGCGCAAACCAGCTAGTTTAGTGTATTTCCTAATATTTTCCCAATAATTCATGTAAATGTTTAGTTTTATACAAATGACTGAATGAAGCAGGTCAGATCCCCTTTCTTGTGTAGAAACGTTGATAGAAGGATCATGATCGAGTCGTTCCAGTTATCTGGGACGTTTTGATAAAATTATTTGTACTCGTACGTTTTTGCCAATTGGAGCAGTAGGGCAGTTTATAAAATGCCCGCAGAGTCAATTTTGTAGTTGTAAGTAGGTATGTAGGTACAAAATACATTAATTTAAATGAGGTAATATATTTTTTAAATAGTTAAAATGGGTGTTAATTAATTCGACTTATCTGCGCTCTTTTAAATAGGCTGGTGTGTATATTTCACAAACAACCTACTTAAAAAATAGGCATTATAAAACATATCTCTAGAGGATTTTTTTTTACTGTGAAATTTTTAATTACTTACACTGATGAATGCCTCATATCAGTCCTTGTCTTTTTAACGATAAGCATATTTTTAATACCTACATAAATGTTTTATTCCCCTTGAATGTAAGTAGATATCACTCCTTAATATAACTTTAATCCTAAATGTTGGATATTGGAAAAAAAAAACTGATTAGGCAGAATCCGTAAGCCGGAGCGCTTTCACTTGGGAAGTTTTTAAAGGAAATAAAAAAAGTTTCTAGATTTCCACAATTTTATTTTTATGCTGCTGTAAAACATGTTTCAGCACAGATAAATTGTGGAAAACTTTTTTGTTTTCTTTCAAAATTTTTCATGAATTTCCATGCCTAAATCAATCTGTGTTATTGTTTGTTGTTGAAACACTCATTCTATCTTACAGTTAACATATTGAGTAAGCATATCATGTGATCTACAAGATAGTGCCTCTATTGTGATCAGACTAATCTTTTATGATTTGTTGTATGTATATATAAGTCCCTATCTACATTATAAGTATATGGTATTTGATAAGAAATTTAAAGAATTTATTATATTCTATATGTATATTTGTTATATGTACCGTTAATTCGGGAATATCATCATACAGTTGGCAAGCAAGTACTGAAAGTTAGAAGATTTTACAGACTGGTAATAATGTTGTATGACTTAGCCCAAATTACAGGCCCAAAGAATTTGAAATTTAATTTTTTTTCAATTGGATGCACGGTGAAAGTTTGTAAATTTGCAAGTGGTAAGTGGTCATCATCATCAGCTCATCCTGTCCAATGTTTTTATTAAACTTTGCAATACGAAGCAACCAGTATCCAGTTTCCAGCGATTCTCTTTATGTCATACCTCCACCAATCGGGGGCAAGCCTGGCTTGTGGCTTGGCTTGTTTGAAAAACTTCTTGACAGTGTGGTGGAATTTAAATCCAGGAAAATTGGAAGTTTTTCTTTGGAAAACACAAATTGAAGGTTCAAACACGCTGTTAAGAACTTATACGATGTGTTTATATTGACTCTGATCACTGCTACAAAAGTTTGGTTTTACTTTATGAGACGATGGAGGTCTGTTCGACCTCTAAAATTTTACTTGAGCTGAGTGAAAACCCAGATCTCAACAGTGTGTTTGTAGCTTCGGTTAAAAACTTCTATTTTTCCTGGTTTAAAATCTTCACTGATGATTCTCAGCATTGATCTTTCCATCCTATGTAATTTGCCTATATGTTTTTCTCCCCATTTTTCCAGATTTTTATGTAGGAAATATGGGTGTTTTCCTTTTGTTATTGTTCTTTTAACTAAAAAACCAATGCCAACAGAATGCCATGTTAAGAATGATATATTGTTGCTTATAGGACGCAGCTCCAATCAAGCACAACAATAATTATTAATTATCAAGCCATCGAACGAGAAAAAAAACCGGACCATAATAATCTTTATGGTCCTAGGAGCATAATAGATCGTGTCTCGTGTTGACGACAAAAAGTTAAAATTATTAACCGTTTGTTGAAAATATTTTTGGTTGTTTTTTTGCAAGTTTTCAAACTTCCACCCTGCATATTATTTCAGAACTTGAACGTTCAACCAACATGGCTATGTTGGCAATATTTCTACAGTTTTACTAACTAAACATTCCGCAAAAAAAAAATATTTACGGGCCTCCTATCTTGTATACCTACTTTAGAGTTTATCACAAACCTATGGAGGAAAACTCTCGGAAAAGTTACCGTTATTTTTTTATGTTATTTAATTAATGTGATACTCTATGCACACCTAAACAGGCCCGTAAATTTAATTGTATTATATGTACTATGGATGTTATATTGTACAATGTTTTTTCTTTGAATAAAATGTACTAAGACTATGTATTTTTCATGTAACCCAATAAACCACCATAACAGTATTCCATTTCAGTAAGCGATGTCCAGATGTTGTTGCGAGTTCATGGATTGCTAGGATTTTGTTTGCAGAATGAGAAACGGTGACAGATGCAGGTGCATCCTTGAATGTCAGATTCAGAAGATGCGTAAAGTGTCTCAACAGAAGTTTTGCAAGTTTTTTTATTATTAAACTTGAAAGAAAGTCCTAATTTTGTTTCTGAGCCCTAGATGCACTTTTACTTTGTTTCATTTGATAAAAATTTTCCAATTTGAGTGAATAGAGGGTGAAAGCCAGTAGCCAAAATGGATCTCAGACTCAGAAATGAAATTATGAATTTTTTCTCCCTTAAATGCAAAAAAAATCTAATGAAATTTCTATTTAATCACCTTTTGACAACTTCTGAAAAATACTTCGAGCAATCAGATCAGAGAGGCTTCAAACTTTCAGGATTTTTTAAGTACTTAGTAGAAGAAAACAAAGCACGAGTGCTTTGCATTGCTTTTTCTATCTATTTTCCCAAAAAAAAAGGTTGCTGTATAACACATTTTATTACTCTGTTAAATTATGCTTTTGAAGCTAATTTCCAAGCTTGGTCGTTACGCTGCCATCTAGCGAGAAGAAATCGCCAAATTATTAACAAGAACATAATAACGTGCTTATTGACGCTGCTGCCTCTAGCGAGGAAAATACGAACAAGTTATCCCATACATAAAATTTTGTATGGTACTTCTACATAATGGCACTTCAAATTATAGACTGCTTGAAGATAGAACAATTTTATTGCTAAAACTTACAATTTTTAACACTTACATTATATTGTGATAGTTAAACCTTAGAATTAATTTTAAATTAAAATGGAAATAAACAATTAAACATGGAAGCACCCTGATAGTCGCTTGTTTGAACCAAAGTTTCCTTATGTATGGAACAACCATGTGTACTTCTATTGCTGTAAGCCTTAAACTGCTCCTCTTTCAGGATTGCACCTATAACAAAAATCTCTGTCAGTGAAATGTTCCATAATTTAGATTTTCATGTGACAAAATAGGTCATTTGATTTGGTTTGTATCAAAACTGGTTCTATATCAGTTCAAAATAGAGTGTCACCTAATAGAGTGATCAAAATTTGATAAACCATGGTAAAATTTTCGAAAAGGAAAACGTAGCTATTGATAACAGCATAAAATACATACTTAAAGTAACCTTTTGTTTTTTTGGTTGATGATTTTGGTATAATTTTCGTGAGTCAATCCAAACAAGGACAAAAAGGCTTCTTGGTGCATGTCTTCGGGGTTGACAGAAAGTACTTCAGGGATAGACAAGTGAGCTCTGTTGAATGCATCCATTAATTTGTTCCTGCGTTTTTCTATGACACTCTTGATTATGGGTTTGAAAGTCGCTTCATAGGCCTTGTATTCGACTCGCAGTTTATTGAGCATGGGCTTCTAAAAAGAATAAAATATCACTATACAGTGAGGACAAAAAGTCTGTCGCCCCTGCTCTAACTTTTGAACCGCTCAGTATATCGCAACGAAATTTGGAATGCTGATATATTAGCGAATTCTTTATTTTTTAAAAAACAAATGACAGCTTCAACTGTCAAAATGACAGCTAGGCGCAGTATTGAAACGTTTTTCCAAATAGGCGGTGTCGAGTGATACATTGTTTTAAAGGTCACTTTATTCTTGATTTAATTCCCGGTTCTGAAAACATTTGGTTAAGCGGTTTTCAGATGATGACGAAAAAACATGGGGTTGTTCTGGTCACAAACACTCATAAAAAAAATAAACACTAGAATAAAGAGACCTTTGAAACGATACATCACTGGACGCCGCCGCCTTCTATTTAAAAAAACGTTCCAAAAGTGCGCCCAGCTTTTGACAGCTGAAGCTGTCATTTGTTTTTCAAAAAATGGAGAATTCGCTCATATAAATCATCATTCCAAATTTCGTTGCAATATACCGAGCGGTTCAAAAGTTAGAAGGGAGGCGACAGACTTTATGTCCTCACTGTAGTGAATACACTACCTACATCATTTCAACCTCAATTTCGGAAAAAGTAACCTTTATTTAGGAAAATGTAAAGTCATTTTCAGAAAAAGTCAAATTAACTTCAGAAAAAGGTAAGTCAATTTCGGAAAAAATAAATTCAAATTCGGAAAAAATAATTCAAATTCAATTCAAATTATTCTAAAAATATCATTACTTTCTTTGTAATTGAATGTACTTTTTCCAAATTTTAATTTTCTTTTTCCGAAATAAACTTTACTTGTTCTAAAATTAATTTGACTTTTTCCGAAAAAAATTCAGTTATCGAAACATACAAGACAAATTATAGGTATCGAATTAAAACTGACTTACTTAAGCTATACTACTTCGCGCTATTTATAGCAGACAAAGTACCTATTCGAGATTTATCTAGAAAAACCTGGCGCCATACTTGATATAAAGTCAGTTGCATGGTTCTTGAACTGCGCAGTCTGAAGAGGCAGAGGGGAAAATTCGTCATTGCGGCGTTGTCATATCAATAATAATAATACATGAAAATGGCAATAAAATCTCCTTCGTCTTCGAAATATGGAGAATACTATTCTTCAAATCGAATAATATTCTAAAAATAACATAAAAATATAATGATACCATAATTAATATTTTTTAAACATTCATTTTATCCATTTAATAAATCATACATCATTGAAAATCCATTTTTTTTTCCGAAATCCGGCATCACTGAGATCACTTATGTGGAACGTTTCGAATCGAGCCGTACTCTCCGTATGTAAAATAGGAAAAAATGACTGAGCGATTGGATCCCACCAGAACCAGGCGATGGCGCCGCCGCCGCCGTCAGCTAGGCGCGCACATTTTAAATTTTGTTTCATTGGCGTCTCTGTTCAATCAAAGTTTTATTCAGTGGCGTAGCCAAAAGGTGTTTAAAAAGATGGACAAATTTACGCAAAAAAAAATCTTCATAGCCAAACAAGGGAGGTAATAGCCAATATATATAGAGTTTGCGATGAAGAAGGAACGAATACGAATCACCCTGTTGAGTTGAACCACCCTTATATTGGGCGAATTTCGAAATTTTGAACATCCAAGTTTTTTTCATGAAACATATACACCCAACATCAAACGCAATTTGCAAATGTGAAAATAAATTTTAATCTTATAATAGAAAAAATAACATTACGCATTACGCACGCCTATGATATCAAACGTTAGCCGAGTTTTTATGTGGAATTTTCCCCTCTGCCTCTTCAGACTGCGCAGCTCAAGAACCATGCAACTGACTTTACTGCCCACAGACAAATGTTTGGAAACATTTCGTAAACAAAACGTCATTTATACACGTATGTAAATGTTTTGTTTCAAAGAACATTGTTTTTAAACGAGGTAGCAATCGCGTCCAGACTAAAGGCAAAAACATGTCACCAAATAGCACTACCACTGATATACGATTGCTTGAAACAGCAAACATTTGCTTTGAACGCGTCCAGACTTCCTTCAAAAGCGAGTATAAAAACAAAATTTCCATCCTGACGGAAAACAAAAAACCCTGACTCAGAGCGTGGTAACAAATACATCTTGGTTATCATGGATATGATGGATGAATTACTTCAGTGAAAGGCCAGAAGTTTTTGCTATTCCCAATCAAATCAAAATATGCTTTATTGTTTAAAGATACAAATCTTGATAACAAAGCTTCCAAATATAATATAATTAAAATTAAAATCATCAACAAAGTAGGTACGTAAAAATAAAGATAATAAACAGGAATAAAATAGGAATAAAAACAACTGGATAAAATGGATCGAAAGACTGCTCAACATTAAAATTAAAAACAAACTTAAAATTAAAACTTAAAATTATTGACCATTAAACAGAGGAGATGAGAAGTATTCCTCTACAGAGTAAAAACCCTTAGCCAGAAGTAATTTTTTGACTTGTCTCTTGAAACATCTACTCAAGAAGCCATCACTATTGCTCAGATGCTAGTGGACGAAGTTTTTAATCGTCATGGTGTGCCATTAGAGTTACATTCAGATCAGAGACGAAACTTCGAATCTGCCATCTTTAAGAAAATTTGTGAGATCATGGGAATTCGTAAAATAGGGACAACACCTTCACATCCACAGTCTGATGGCATGGTAGAACGATTTGATAAGACCATAGAGGAACAGCTGACAAAAGTAGTCGCAAAGAACCAGCGAGATTGGGACAAACATTTGCCTCATTTTTTAATGGCTTACAGAGCAGCTTTTCACGAGTCAACAGGTGAAAGTCCAGCTAGAATCGTTTTTGGAAGGGAACTCAGGTTACCTTACGATCTGATGATGTTTGGAATACCTGAAGAAGGACGAAAAGAAATTCGAGATTATGCCGACGAAGTAAGGACACGACTTCTGAGGATACATGATTTTGCTCGGGAGTATATCCAGCTGGCCAGTGACTGAATAAAGACCAGATACGACTTAAAAGCCAGTCGGATTTCAAGAAGGTGATCTAGTGTGGCTGTATAATCCCACAAGAGAGAAAGGAGTATCGCCGAAATTGTCTTCAGCATTGGGATGGACCCTACAGAATAGTCAAGAGGCTCAATGATTTGGTTTATCGAGTTCAGCGCAACACTAGGAGTAAGATGAAAGTTGTACATTTGGACAGACGGAATACTATGGGCGTGAAGTTGATCGGGACGATCAACTTTAAGAGGAGGGCAGTGTTACGGTGGCGCCTCCACCAAACAGTACAGAATCTAACTTGAAATCTAGAAAATACTGCTTTATTCGGGCAAAGACATTATCGCGTTTATTCTGGATATTACAAGAATGGATTACAGATATATAAAGGCTGGTATTAGTTAGTAGTTTTTAGTTTAAGATTGGCTGTGATACGTTTTACATAGTGATTATTGTTAAGAGTTGTACAGAGTTAAGTTGTTTGAGTTAATTAATAATTAGTGTCAGAGTGTGTAGTAACGTGGAATAAATTATTGTTGTGCTAATTGGACTTTGATCTTGGAATAAACGAACCCAAGATTTCCGTCACGCAAGCAGAAGCCGTGACAGTACCTTTTCATTAATGATTGCAAGCTTCGACTTGTTTTAAGCTTTATTTCAATTTTGTTGTTTCTTGGTTTATATTGCTCCGTAGATTGATTTTTATATCCTTGCCATGAAATTAGGTTATTTCTTACTAGACTTGTTAAAGTGACTTTACGATATTTTGTAACGCATTTGTCAAGCAAAGAAGAAAGTTCTTCTGATATCGTATTTCTAACGCCTCCTGGAATGATTTTAAGTATTCTAATCGAACGTTGAACGAAATTGAGAAATAGCTAACCAACCTAGAAATATCATGTACCTAGTCCTTCTTTTAATTGAAAAATAAATAATTTTTTCATCAAAATCATTTTCCAATTGGTGTTTGATTTTCCTATGCTTATTAAGACCTCATATTTCTTTGAAAAATTTTTCACAAAAATTATCGTATTGGATTTTCTCGAACAAGGTTCCAGCATCTGGTTGTTATAAATTTGGAAGCAAAATGTTGAATTCATTAATTGAAGACAAACAATAGGAATCTTGAACATTGATATTGTGTAGGTATTTTCGAAGTATGGATCTTCAGTTCTTTTGACAATGAGAATTTCTTAGAACAAATTTCACTTCATTTTTCATTTTCATCATTCTAATCTCCAGTGAAATTGCTGTTGAAGCATAGTGAGCGAAAATGACCTGAGCTTGGATTGCCAGAAAAAATTATTGGAATCATTTTATTTAGAAATAATTGTTGGAACATCTGCAATTTCTTGGATGTTCTCATAGTTTTCATGTTAAAAATTTCAAATCCTAAAACGCGAAATAATAACTTATAACTTTAAGTACGGCTAGATCAATCGTCAGTTAACTCCTTGTTAGTTAACAAAAACCTTAGATTGTGTCTGTCAATAAGATATTGTTTTTGTGTGGCACAATCTAAGGTTATTGTTGCTAACAAGAACTTGACTAACGATTGATCTCGCCGCCGTAAAGGTAACAAGCAAAATAATACATTCAGGAATCAGAAAGCCAATTCAATTGAGTCACTAGAAGGCACATTATGTTAATTATTGTATTCTTACATCAAGGCAGCCATTTCGAATGGGTTGGGAATGATACTGGAACAAAATAAACAGCAGGCATAATACATAATACAAATACTAGATATTAAAAAAAAAAACATCAACTAATGTGCATAATAGAAACTGTTCCAAGACATAAAATACTAAACTTGTTGAATCTGACAATTGAAATCCTATGACCAAAAATTTCATTTCTAGTCTAGATTTTTAAGATAATTTCATAATGTATGTAAGAAACTGATTTTTTTTCGATTTCTCCGATTTTTTCATACATCAGTAAATACTTGGATTGGGCAACAAATCAAGCCTGAATTGTGGAAAGTAC